AGTGGTTAAAGGAGCAGTTGTTGAAAAGTATATCCTTTATACTCTGTGAGCAGTTGATAGTGCTATTAGTCATTCCCTTTTCATTTTCATGAAGGATGGAGCTGATTCAGTCACGTGGCAAACAAACATTTAAGCACTTGAAAGTGTTATTGCCCTCAATCTATCAATGTGGGCTCTACAGTGTTATCATTAGAAATAGTTTGGAGGTCTTGTAAGGACCAGTCACTCTAGTGCTATTCTGAAGGACTTAGAACGAAGAACCCTTCTGAAACTTTTCCATTCATGTTTGAGCAGAGAAGTGGTCATAGGCCTTAGTGATTTAAACAACTGAATTCCTTCTTCTTCTTCTTTTTTTTTTTTTCCTAGTTTGATTTTCTTCATACTTGGATATAAGCAGAGACTGATTTCTCCCAGTTTGGTTCTTTCATTCAAAAGATAAAGACGAGTAACTGCAGTATGCACACAGTTAAATTATATTGATAAAAAAAAACACGGTGAGAAGATCAGTTTTATAGGTGGGGAGATCTCATACAGAGAAATTTAATGGTAAAATTTATTCCTAAATTTTCATGACACTTTCATTTTAAATATTTGTTTATATACGTAATGGTTTATGATTAAGAAAAGATATAATATTTGAATAATTATACAGAAGATGAAGATGGTATACTGTTTTTCTGATCATGTCTTGACTCATGAAGAGGATGGTGAATTGAGGACAATGAAAGAACAGATGAGTTCTTCTGGTTCTTTTGTTGTTAGTACTATGTCAGCTACGATAAAACAAACACTAGCAAAATTACTAAGTGGTAACTGTGTTTGGGTAATGGGACAGAGAGCAGAGACTGTTGAAAAGTGCTGGAGACTGCTGTGTTGTTCTATTGCTAACCATAGAGAAGCGCCTACTTTGTAATGAAATGTGTTAGCAGCAAGTTTGTGTGATTTATTTTAAGCATTCAATATGTGCGTGCGTTATCACTGATCGTTCCTACTGAACAGGTCAAGCCAAAGTTTCAGATGAAATGATTCACGCTTTAAATGGAGAAAATAGATGAAAAGTCACACATACAGACTTAGTACGCTCTGAACTTTTAGATGCCCTCATGGTTCAAATGCCAGTTACCTCAAGAAATGCAGTCCTGGTTTCCTTTGTGGTTTCCACTAGCAGAGATCAGAGAATTAAAGGCATCTGCCTGTCCAGCATGTCACCTATGAAGTTTTCTTTTTAACATCAATATCACATATTGGAATTACTAAATTTTGTCATTGGCCTTCTTCATTTCTGTTATGGGGTGCTTAAAAAACAGACTCCTTGACGTTTTTGTGTTCCAGCATGTGAAATTCATTACTCTGACACTTAATCAGTTCAAGATCACTGTCCCAATTTTTCTGACTCCAGTTGACCGACATCGTAAGTAGACCAACATCAGAATAAAGGTACACTCCACAATTTGGCTTACAGATGAAGTACTGGAAAGTCTCATGAATTGGAGTCCTTAAGCACAGAGTTAATCTGAGTTTAGGTCCTACTGACTTCAGAAGGAGTACACTCTTTTTCTTCCGTGTTTGATCAGAGAGATAAAGAACATCAAATCCTGGCCTTTTATGCATCTCTTTCTGGTTAGAGCCTTTGAAGACAAATGACCGGTATGTGATTACCAAATAACCTTTGTGTCGTTTTACAAGGAGCTCCACTACTCCCACTTATACTTGGAACTGGAAATCTTTCAAGATCACCAGCTATTACAGACAGAATGTGAATTTGCTAGAAGAGCCAAAGGGACAAACACAGGAGCTGATGTGCGCAGAGTACACGTCACTGCTAACAGGGGCCTTGATAGGATGCTGAGGGAGAAAAAAGGACACATTTAAGTGTCTGTAAAGATCAGCTGAAAAAAGTCAGACATTCGGAAAATTAGATTTCTGTATATAGTATGTTTTCCAGCAGGGATGAGATGTTGCTGAATGGGATATTGAAAAAGAACAGTACTGAAGATTACAAACATATTTGCTGCTTACAGATATGGGAGAATCTGGATCCTAAGAAGATGCACAGAAGTAAAGAAGCAGCCTGGTGTCTGATGCTCTTCAGAACTCGTGCGTGAATAATTAGTGGAAATCCCCAAACCAGATTAACAGGTAATACGCTTAGGTGCTTTCTCAAGGGGAAATTCACATCCTCTGGGGTGTCTTTTCCCACTTCACTGTCAGTTATTCTGCATTTTATAAAAAGCCTGATGTAATTATCTTACGGTGACAAACTGCTATTTCATTTTCAGCACTTAAATGCCCTACTCACCAGGTATCGTTGTTTTACATGTGAAGTAAAAAGAAGCTGTAATTAATAGTAAGAGTCTTTCATGATTTCATTATACAGAATTGCTAGAGCATTTTTTCCATTACAATTTTTTCTTTTACCTAGAATTCATTTGTTTCATTTCTTTATGGAAGGTTGCTGATGACAGAGTAGTGTCTAGCTTCTTTTTGCAACACTGTTAAATTCTTCCTGCATTAAACTGCGTTAACAGTGGCTTATTTTTTCCTGTAACAAACCCTAACTGTGAAGAACAGGTTTCACAGAAATACCAAGGTTGGAAAAGACCTACAAGATCATCCAGTCCAACCATCCACCTATCACCAATAGGTCTCACTAAACCAAGTTTGTTGAAACTAACTGTTAAAACTGAGAGTTCAGTTCAGAAGTGCTCAGTCCTTTCTTCAGATTTTTAGGCTTTAACTTCTGTGCTTAGATTCTACTATACTTTCTGCAGCTGAGGTAAAGTGTATGTCAAGCTAAGGAGTATGTGACAAAATTATTTAATTTAATGCCATGGAAATGCATAAGCATAGTGTTAGTGTTTCTTTGCAACAAACCTTCTCTGGCAATTACATAATTAGGAGTTCTACGAAAAAGAAAGTCTAAATGGATGACTAGGAGAAGCTATTTGGAAAGCCAAAGAATGAAACCTCATGGTTTGCTCGTGGAAGGAGTAAAGTTTAAAGAGGCAAAGCAAAATGATAGGGGAGCACCTGGATCACAGCTTCTGCTATATTTTATGCAGAAAAAATCTCTGACTTATTTGGTTGTTTTGGAAGGGGAAGGAGAAGTAAGGTAGCTTGAAATATTGGAGTTATAAATGGCAAGTTGTAAATTAAGTTCTGTGAGGTTAAAGTGATTAAAATTGATGTAACAGTAGTTTTTCAATGTGAAAAACAGAATTAAAAAATTCTTTATCTTCAGTTATGCTTTAGAAATTTTAGCGATGGCCTGCTCTCAAAGGCACCTGATCCTTCAAACATTTAGATGAAGAGTTTGCTTGAGTACAGTTGATTGTATTGGACAAGGTGAAAAAAGGGAGGAGAGAGGGGAAAAAATAAGTAGTAGCCAAATAAACGACAGGTAGCAGAACATTTAGAAAAACCCAGGGAATTAAGTGATGTGACAAAGAAACTTCTGACTGTGTTCTGCAGGCATCCCCTGGCTTTACAGTATAGTGGGATCAATGATAGGTGATGCAACACCAAGAAGCCAGAAAGCAGAAGATGGAGGTGATGTGGAACTGTTCATCTGAGGAACTGCACAGAAAAGGGGAAAGAGAGGGGAAGGCGTGTGGAGATTGTGAAATTTGCCTGAAAGAGGGTGAAATCACTGACAGGGTTGCCTCTGAGTTTCTCTACTTCTTATGCATAGAGATAGCATACAAACAGATGGTAGCATACGGAGTGTTTCCAGAGCTCCTTTGCATAACTAAATTAAAGGTGCAAGGAGAAGAGGAATTTCTGTACAAGAGTTCATATTCATTACTGTTTGCATAGATGACAAGCTATAACATTGATTCAAGCTTCAAGATGTCTTGATTTTTCTAAAAATGCATGTATACTGCTGTCATGTTTCTGATAAATGACCATAGTCTATGCTATCAATAATGAATGTCAGCATTGATGTCTATGGTATCCATTTTTGTAATGTTTTTAATAATTTGTCTCAATCCTTCGTGTTCTTAATTGCTTTTTTTTTTTTTTTTTTTTTCCAGTGGGCAATCAACACCAATCTTTGCATAGAATAAGGAAAATTTTATGTAACAACATTGTATTTTCATCATTCTTTTCCATCTCGTGCTGTGAATAATCCAACACATGGCTTATAAGATATTACCAAAGTAGGAGCTGAGAGGCTGATGATGGCGTGCAGATCACTTTTCAAATAAGAGTGATTAATTCAGCTGTTAAAATGTTGTTAAAATCTGCTTAAATTAACTGTTTCAAGGTGTTATCATATGTATAACAATAGTCCAATACCTTTCAACAATCAGTTAATTCCAAAGAAGAATCTAACAGGAAAACATAAGGTTGTGTTATGCTTAGAACCTACAAAAGGAAGCTCGATAGGGAGATCTTTCAAAGCTGGTCTAAAACAAGGAATTCTCTCTTCTGCCTTCAAAGTTGTGGAGCTTAATTCCTAAAGCTTAAAGGCAGGAAATGCTAAGCTTAGAGTGAGCACAGGTTTCTACCTGCCCTGCAGGCAGAGAGATCTATAGCCCTCAGCTAAAAATCAGCTGATACTTCTGCTTTAATATAGCAGAGGCACCGTTACTCTTGTGAGCGTATTTGCTGTGAGGGGAATAGCAAAACTAGTAGCAAATGACTTTAAATCTGTTGTATGAACTGCAACATTTGGTGATATATTCTAATGTGTGAGCAACTGGGACAGTGTTTATGCTGAGTTTCACTATCATTTTATATCCCTCGTTTTTCTCTATGTGGATCAGAATTTCTCCTTCTCTAAAAGAAAGTTAGGTTAAAGTTGTCTGTGTTGATAAAGATTCAAATTAAGCCAGCAAAATTCTGGTGCCATAAGAGCAGATGACACTGGGAAGCAGTGTGAAACCAAGGCAAAGTCTAACTCTTTTCTGAGAGCAATATGAACACCCAGGAGTTAGGATCAGGGAGCATCTTCATCTATCTTGCAACAGTGCAGTATATTACTGAGACAAACATTGGGAAGTGGAAGACTGTTAAAAAGAAGACTAGGGCTAAGAATTGCTTTGACAGCAAGGCAATCCTATTGGAAGTTGTGAAAGGTATCTTATGTGACTCTAAGAAATACTCAATTCATTCTATGTAAAGCGTAAATAGAATCAGGTAAATGATGATAAGATGTATGTAAAGTATTCTTGTGTTTGTCTTTTGCCTTTTCAATTTAGAGTTAACTGGCTGCTGTTCCAGACCTTGGAAGGTGGTCCTTTGCGATTTCCAGATCTGAGGAGACCTGCAAGTTTTGAGAGTGTCTGGGAGCCTGCCTGAGTCCAATGCAACTTCAGAATTCCATCTATCTTCAAAACAGGATATATAAAGGCCTGGAGGTAGAGATGTGCTGCAGTAGCTGAAGGTGTGAACGGAACCACCTACACTGACTCTATGTCTAGAGGATGATTCCTTATAACTAGACAAGTCTCAATTGCCCTGATTTTTCCAACAAGGTCAGCAAGTCTTTGCACAGTGGCATGTCTGGTAAGTGACAATAATTTTTTTTCTCTTTTTTTTCCACACTTGTTAAACAACAGTGCTTATGATATTGTTGAGTCCCAGATGATACAAAAGCAAGCTGAGAGAAACATTCACTGAGATTTTGCTACTGCTAGGAAAAAGCACATATGTGTAGCTACATGTAACGGGAGCAAAATGTCCTCCAAACAGCTGTAGAAGAAATACTCTCAAGTGACACTTAATAACAAGAAAGAATTTTGTTTCCATGTGAGGCAAATCAATTAAAGGGGAAAAACTTTTTTCTGAATTACTACACATTTTTTAATAGAACAAGAACTGTGACAAGAAGGCTTCAGAAACAGCAACAAACTGTGTAAACTTCCCCTGGCAACTTAAAATGGAAAAAGATCCATTTATATCACTCAGTATCATGCTCGGTCTATCGCTGTCCTCCCTAAAGGCAAAAAGAGAAATTATTAAGATAGCTTTTACCTGTTCACCTACAGAGAATTTTCTATTAATTCAAATATAAAAAGTGCTTCTTACTTTTCTTCAGTTGCCAGATAACCTTTTGCCCTCCCACTCCCCCCGTTACACTACTTTGATGTGATGTATCTATACAAATTTTAAAGAATTTCTTCACACTGTTTTCAAATTTGAAATCAGGCACACTGATTTGGAGCATCTGTCTGATATCAGGGAGATGAATGTTGGTCTTTCTAACTCTACTGGTACACAGGAAAGCTATTTGGTGCCTGTCCAGTTTCAGTGGTCTGTGTGCAATCATGCAAACGGCTGCAAAACAGCAAGTTTTGCAAATATCTGCTGATGTGCCACTGTATGCCACTTGTGACAAAACGTTCTTGATTACTCCATAACGTTAAGATTTGTAAGACAAGGGCTAAGGCACAAATGCAGCAAGTCTCAGAAAGACAATGCAAATGATCACCAGTGTCCCATGTCCTGCACCATTATGGTATTTGTTAGTCTTGCACCTGAATTTAGCCTATGCTGCCTCACTCCACAGCGAGGAATGTGGAAAAGTAGACTAAAATTCAACCAGTGAATGCCACGGACCAACCACAGGGAAATAATTCATTTCTGACTCCGATTAGGTCGTTACCAGTCCTCTTGGATATGTGGTTTGGGTAAATCCCTTAGCATGTAACTTCTTTGGTACACGTAGCTAACCGGGAAAGCTTCTATGAAGAATAAGAGCTCTTATTACAAACAAGTCTTTTATCCATTTATAAAATACCTTCTATAAGCCTACTGGTCTACATTTCAAAATTATAGATTTTTTTTTTTTAAAGCTTTCATTACTCTATTTGGAATCCTCTTCCTGAACTTTTAGGGATGCGTTTACAGTTGATTTATTACTATACGATCTTGTGCAGATAGTATTAGTTTTGTAATCTGTATTGCAATTCTTTGCAGTTATTGCAGTTAAAGTTCATCTTCAATAAAACTATTTGACCAGAACAGTACGCAATTAAGTCTTTCCATTCCTCTCATGACAAATGTCTTTCCTCACACATTTGTGAATTCGTTAGCTCATTCGTAGCTTTGGATGGAAATGATCATCCTCAAATAGGCAGACAAACGTGCCTCCTTTTTCTTGTTTTGTTTTGTTTTTTAATCTATGTAATCAACTTCTTCCACAAGTAGAGGTGTCTACTCTTTCTACCCTTGTATAACGATCTCATTTTATCAGTCTAACCAGTATGGTAATATTCTCTGCTAATTTCATCTGCATTGTTCCTTACGATCTTTGAATAACTTATTAAACAGGATGTTTGCTTGATAAAACATCTAGCAACCACTCCTTCTATCATGGCCTCCCAGGCAATTATCTGTTGATACCTCTAGCCTTAGCGCCTTCAGAAATGTATTAGCACCTGCCTTCTTCACCTTTAGCAAATCTTTTCTGTGTGTAAACTGTATCAAATTCTTGATTTAAATCCCTGATAAATAATGTTCTACTGTCTAACAAATCAGGTATGTGGAATAGGAGAGAATAGATTGATCTGTTGCAATCTACTGTTGATAAAGCCACATTGTAATTTATACTGCTTTCCTTTTCTCTCTCTGTGCCTTAGTTCTTTCAGAATCTGCCCAAAGACTTAGTTTTGATGAAGTCAGTTAATTTGTCATTATTTGTACCCGTTCTTTTGAATGTAGTACCCGCATTTACTGATTTCAGTTCATGAGACACCACAAATAGAATAGTTACTACTTATAATATTAAATATGAATATACTATATAATATAGCATTATGTATTATTATATAGCAGGACATGCAATCTTGCTTGATTATTCCATACTTCTATTCCATACATCATTCCATACATCTATGACTATTCCATACATCCCATTTTAACAAGGAGATTATTCAGCCCTTCTTATATTTGCTTTAGGAGGTATTCAGAATATTAACATTTATTTCTCTCTGAGGTATCATAATTTCTGATGTTCTGTCTTTATTTTCATTCTTTACTCCACTAATGTCCTCATCATTAACTTTATAGAAAATTGAGGCAAAATATGCATTTAATATGCGGGTTGATATTAATCTCTACACTATATTTGCAGTGCTGCATCTTTTTTCTTTCAGATGCTTCTTTATTTTAAACGTTTGTAAAGAATTGTTGTTAAGTGTAAAGTCTAGCTGAAGAAATCTCTCAGCCATTTTTCTTCTTTCTGCAGTCTTTGACTTGTGAGAAACGGCGCTCTTTGTTCTTAGATTTGCATGAGTACAAAAGGAGCCGATTTAGTGAAGAAATGCCATAAGCTTTTTTTCTAGTAGCTTTTTCTCTGGCTTGCAGTGCAAACTAAAAATAGTATCCGGCCTTTGATTTAAATTCCTTAATTTTTATGTTTTAAAAGCTTTGCGTTCCCAAATTCATGCTGTATGGTTTCTTTAATTTCTTCTAAAATCCCAAATGTTAGTCATGGGCAGACCTGTTGTGTGTCTTGCAGTTTGATAAAGAATGATTCAGCTCATGATCATCCATCTCATAATTGTTTTCTATTGCTGCAGAGAGTAGCTACAGGGCAGGTAAGACTGCACTGGGCAAGGCTGAGAAAAAGCTCTTTTTAGGGCTTTTTTGGAGCCAGCAACAGCTCTGTTCTTGTGCTGGAGGGCTGGCAGCTTGTGGGCGGGCTGCTAAGCTAGTGGGGACTGCCGGGTGTGTAAGCATTGTCCTTCTTTGCTCAGGAGACCCGCTCTCTTGGCAGTCTCTGAGACCACAGGCTTAAACATGGTATGTACAAGACAGCGGGCTTGCTCAAGAAGCTATGACTATTCAAACATATGGCCTGCCCAGAACTGTGGATGTTCAGGTGTCTGGCTGCAAGGAGTGCCTGAGCCTGCTGCTGCCAGAGGGAGGGTGGCAGACAGGCTGGGATTCCACCCGTGTAAGGTATGAGCTGGTGGATGAGCTGCTCTGCCTGGTGGTGGAGCTCAAGGAGGAGGTGGAGAGGCTAAGGGCCATCAGGGAGTGTGAGCAGGAGGTTGACTGGTGGAGTGACTCGCTGGAGGGAAGGGTGCCAGGGAGATACCCCAGAAAAGTGTGGGCCCCCTGCCCTATCACAGTCAGACAGATGAAGAGGATTGAAAGAGTCCCAGCTCAGCATCACAGGTGCACCCCCTGCCTGCTTGCTTCCCCAGGTCCCACTGAACAGCATGTTTGAGATGCTGAAAATTGAAGGGGAGGTGAGTGGGGAGGTGAAGGGGGGATCTGTCTAGGAGGGAGCCTAGGGTGAAGCGATCATCCCCACACCTTGCGACTGCCTCGATCAGGAAATACAGGAGGGTAATTGTGGTGGGCAATTCCCTTCTCAGGAGAACGGAGGGTCCCATTTTCAAACCCGACTTGTAGGGAGGTGTGCTGCCTCCCTAGGGCCTGCGTCAGGGACATCACTAGAAAAACTCCTGGGTCTGGATTGCTCCTCTGATTAATACCTGTGATTGATAGTTCGGGTAGGCAGTGATTAAACTGCTCAGGGAAGCCTGCAAGCTATCAAAAAGGATTTCAGGTGTTTAAGGTGAATGGTTGAAGGAGTGGGTGCACAAGTGGTATTTTCCTCTCTCTGCTCTGAGGTGCTGAGGGATACAGAGTGGTCTAGGAAAATACAGGCTTTGAATATGTGGCTGAAAAGTTGCTGCAGCCACAGGAACTTTGGGTTCTTTGATCGTGGGGCAGTTTACTTGGTGCCTGGACTGATGGCTGTATATGGGTCTTGTTTGTCTCCGTGGGGAGAACAGACCCTGGCCCAGCAGCTGATTGAGAGATCATTGAGAGAGCTTTAAACTAGGTATGAAGGGGGATGGGGATAAAATGACGCTTTTTAGGGTGGAACAAGTAGTTCAGAATTTTCTAGATTTGATGGGGGAAGAGGGTGGTGGTCAGTGGGACAGAAAAGAGCCTGGGGATGTTCCCATTGTAGCAGATGGTGGGGATAGGCCTCTGAACTGTTCTGTAGGGTCTTCTGGGGACTCTTCAGAAGAGGCAACGTTGCTGACCCCCCGCCTGAAACCTTCAGGAATTAGTGGAGGAAAACTTCAGAATTCTTTCAGAGGTTTGAGGGAGGGACCCTCCAGAAAGGTAGTGTGTCAGAAAGCCCAGATGAAGTGTCTTTATACTAATGCATGCAGCATGGGAAATAAGGGGAGTTGGAAACAGTGATGTACCTGGAAAATTATGATCTGGTTGCTATCACAGAAATGTGCTGGGAATCCCACTGATTGGGATTCATCTGGAATACTCTGATTGAAGGCTACAGGCTCTTCAGAAGGGATAGACAGGGTAGGAAGGGAGGAGGCATTGCCTTCTATGTTAGGAAGTGGATAGATTGCAAAGAGCTATATTTGAATAACAGCCATGACCAGGCTGAGTGCTTATGGGTGAAAATCAGATATCAGTTTGTGTTTGTGAAAGGTGGGAAAATGATGCTCAAAAAGTTTTACAGATTACTAAATTATGCATTTGAAATTTAAATAAAACTTGACATGTTCTGTGCTGCATTTGTAAATGATACGTATTTCCTTATTTGTCCTGACTCTTGGTTTTCATATTCCATTTCTATTCCACCTTATATGAGAGTTGTAAAAAAATTTTCTACAAAGTATATGAATAAATTTCAAGATAGGAATCAATGAAAACAGAACCTTATTTTAAAGCTTTCTTTAGAAATAATAATGAATAAGAAATAGAACATCTAGGTGAAATTTTCAAAAGTGCTGTATGACTGCTCATTCAAAATAACATTAGCTGTTAGCTATTGTTATGTTAATTATTAGCTTTACCTATTAACACTGAGATGTTTACCAGTGTGATAGATTTATTCTGAAATTGCTTACATGTTTTAGCAAATTTCATCTATTGTGATTTGACAGTCGAATTGCTCTGCTACAAAAAGGAGTCAAAGACTAAAAGCTATCCACGGTAGACATAATTCATCCAAAAGTACTTGTAAATTTTGAAAGCTTCACATGCTAGTATTATAGCAGATGAAATAATTTAACATGGCCAGCAGACTTGCAGATAACTTGGTTCTTAGAGTTCACTAATAACAAATGTTTTGATCAGGAGTAGTCAGAGACCCAGTGCTAACGAGGGCACTGTCTGCTGCAGTTCCTTGCTCATTGTTGTTAGAACCAAGGTTATGTGTGGATGTGCACATGGCTCATAGCTGGAATAACTGTATCCAGGATGAGAAATACCTTCCTGTAACCTGTTTTCTAGAGAAACAATGTTTTAGTAGTTGGTGATCTGGTAAGATTCAGCTCAAGTCTTAAAAGTGACCAGAAATAGATCCATCATTCCGATCCTAATAACTACTTTGCACAGTGACAGAATGGGCTCCTAAATGAGGCTGAAATAAATTAGTGAGAGAATTTGTGTTTCTCTTGAACTTATTTCGGGGGGAGAGGGAATGAGGCCTTTTCAGCATTTTGTTTCTATGCCAATTTTCCTTGTAGCGACTGCTGTCTCTCCCTAGATATTCCATGATAATAGCTTTATGCCTATGCATGTGCGACACAAATATCCTGTTGATGTTCAGCAAGACTGAGTGCCGAATCCTCTATCTCTTCAGTTATAGAGAACTAAACATGGTGGGCCAATGGATTAATGCCTGGCTCTGAGCCTGGTGTGCCTGGCTAGGGTTTGGGTTTTTTGATCTCTGCTCGGTTTATATGAGACCAGGCCTGCTGGCAACCAATAGGCATAGTTTATCCCACTGCTGGAAAGGGGTCTTAAGACAGGAGTTGGGAAGGTTCATTGATAGACTTTTAAACTATGAAAGGTACGGAAGGGGATGGGGGTGGGGGTGTAACTGGGGTCACCAGAACAGAGTCTGTATGTAATGTGCCAGTGCTTGTAGGAAAGGGATGTGCTAGTGAGATCCCACACAGTCTTGCTGAAGGAGGAGAACAACTCATGTTTTTGTAGGAAGAATGCAAGGGTTGGTGTGAGGCTATGGAAACACCTGAGTATGGTCAAGAGGGTATTAGGGCTACTGTCTCTCAAAAGGTGGTCCAGATAAGGTGCTTTTACACTAATGTGTGCAGCATGGGTAACAAACAGGAGGGTAACAAACTCAAGAGCAAAAGGAATGCTTATGGTCTTTGGAAGAGTGGGCAAGCTACTTATGATGATTATAGGTACGTAGTGAAGCTGTGCTGGGAGAAAATTAGAAAAGCCAAAGCCCGGATAGAACTGAACTTGGCCACTAAGGTAAAGGGCAACAGTAAATATTTCTGTAAATAAATCAACAGGGAGAGGAGGGCTAGGGAGAATCTCCATCCCTTGTTGGACACCGAAGGCAACTTGGTGACCAAGGATCAAGATAAGGCAGAGGTACTTAGTCTTTAATAGTAAGACTTTCTGGGCACACAGCCCCTTAGCTGGTAGATAGGGAAGTGAAACAGAATAGGCCCGGCATAATCCATGATGAGATGTTTTTGGACCTGCTCTGAAGCTGGATGCTCACAAGATCATGGGGCTGGATGGATTGCACCCTAGTGTGCTGAGGGTGTTGGCAGCTATGATTGCCAAGCACTCTCCATCATCTTTCAACAGTCCTGGCTAACCAGAAATGTCCTGGTGGACTGGAGACTGGCAAATGTGACACCCATGTTCAGAAAGGCTGGAAGGATGATTTTAGTAGCTGCAGACCTATCGATATCACCTTGGGAAGGTTGTGGAATGGATAATCTCAGAAGCCATCATGGACCAATTAAAGGTCAACCAGGAGATCAGGCCCAGTCAGCATGGGTTTATGAATGGTAGATCCTGTTTGGCAAACCTGATTTCATTCCATGACACGGTGACCTGCTTTAGTGGATGAAGGTAAGACTGTTGATGTGGTCTACCTGGACTTCAGTAAAGCCTTTGATCTGTCCTCTACAACATCCTCGTGGAGAAGCTGGCTGCCCATGGTTTGGATGAGCATAGGCTCTGCTGAGTGAAACACTCAATGTGAGCGTTTGGCTAGCCAGGCCCAAAGAGTTCTGGTCAATGCAGTTAAATCCAGTTGGCAGCCGATCATAAGTGGTGTCCCTCAGGGCTCAGTACTTGAGCCACTTCTATTTAGCATTTTTATTAATGATCTTAATGAAGGGACTCAGTGCACCCTCGTTAAGTTTGCAGATGACACCAAATTGGGAATGAGTATTGATTTGCTAGAGAGGAGAAAGGCCCTGCAGAGGGACCTGAATAGACTGGATCAATGGGCCGAATAAAACTGTAGGAGTTTCAGTAGGGCCAAGTGTCGAGTCCTGCATTTTGGCCAGAATAACCCCAGGAAACCCTACAAGCTTGAAGAGGAGTGGCTGGAAAACTGCCTGGTGGAAAGGGACCTTGTTGTACTGATGGACAGTGGGCTGAATATGAGCCAGCAGTGTGCCCAGGTGGCCAAGAAGGCCAATGGCATCCTGGCTTGGATCAGGAATGGAGTGGTGAGCAGGACCAGGGAAGTCATCCTGCCCTGTACTCAGCGCTGGTGAGGCCTCACCTGGAGTTGGTAGTTTTGGGCACCTCAGTACAGAAAGGACATGGAGGTGCTTGAGCAGGTCCAGAGAAGGGCAACAAGGCTGGGGAAGGGCTTGGAGAATATGGCCTGTGAGGAGAGACTGAAGGAACTGGGGCTGTTCAGTCTGGGGAAAAGGAGGCTGAGGGGAGACATTATTGCTCTCTTCAAATACCTGAAAGGTGATTGCAGCAAGAGTGGAGTTGGTCTCTTCTCACTGGTGACAGAATGAGGGGAAATGGTCTCAAGTTGTGTCAGGGTAAGTTTAGGTTGGATATCAGGAAAACCTTTTTTACAGAAAGGGCTGTTAAGCACTGGAATGGGCTCCCCAGGGTGGTGGTTGAGTCCCCATCCCTGGATGTGTTTAAGAACCGTTTGGATGCGGGGCTCAGGGACATGATTTAGCGGAGGGCTGCTACAGTTAGCGTAGTATGGTCAAGTTGTGGTTGGGCTTGATGATCTTTAAGGTCTTTTTCAATTCTATGATTCTGTGATCCTGCACACTGGTCAAAACAGCCCCGTGCATTGCTATGGATTTGGGAAAAGTGGCTGGAAGGCCATGTTGTAGAGAAGGATCTCAGGGTGTTAGCTGACAGCTGGCTGAACATGAGCCATCAGTGTACCCAGGTGTCTGAGAAGGCCAGTGGCATCCTGGCTTATATCAGAAATAGTGTTACTAGCAGAAGCAGGGGGTGATCATCCCTCTGGACTCAGCCAAGTGAGGCCATACCTCGAGCACCATGTTCAGTTTTGGGACCCACACTACAAGAAAGACACTGAGGCCATGGAACGTGTTCAGAGAAGGCCAGTGGGGCTGTGAAGGGTCTGGATCACACATTTTATGAGTAGCAGATGAAGGAACTGGGATCGTTTAGCCTGGAGAAGAGAAGGCTCAGCGGAGACCTTATTGTTCTCTGCACCTACCTGAAAGGAGGTTGTAGTGAGATGGGGGGTCGGCCTCTTTTCCCAGGTAACAGTGATAGATGAGATGTGACAGCCTCAGGTTGCACCAGGAGATGTTTGGATAGGATATTAAGAAAAAATCATTCTCCAAAATTGCAGTGAGGCACTGGCACAGGCTGCCCAGGGGAGTGGTGAAGTCAGTGTTCTTGGAGACATTCAAGCAACATGTAGATGTGGCACTGAGGGATGTGGCTGGTGGGCATGGTGGGGGTGGCTGGACTCAGTGATCTTAGAGTCTTTTCCATCCTCACTGAATTTATGATTGTATGTGTCTTTTGGAGTCAGTTGTAATTTGTGCTGATGTAAATACTGTAAGTGTTTCAAGCTATTTAATGAATTTGTTTCAAACAAGCTGCCTCCATCTTTTCTTCTATTCTTGCTCTCCAGGTAGCTTGAAAATCCCAGATGTTTGCAGAACACAAGTCCTCAGTTTTCATGTGCTGAGGGAAAGAACATGTATTTACTTGAAGTTGCACAGAAGCTGTTTGATATGCCTATAGGCTTGTGCAGCAAGGAGAATATGCAAGAATCCTGCAACACATCTGACCAACTGCAGATTAACACAGCTTGGATTTAAATATTTTGGTTCAGTGATGAGATCAATATTTTATTAATTCAAATCAAATCTGAGTATCGAATTCAAACAACCTTCTGGCAGTATGTCCGGAGCCCCCACTGTGTCAGTATGCCTGAATAAATTGTTCTGTGAGAATTATTCAGTGAGCTGTCTTTGCAGTGCACAGAAATATTCAGAACTTTCTTGCACTTGACTGATACAAGACAGCCTGACTTTCTGGCTTCACATGCCGCTGCTCCACAGTGTGATGCAGTTAGACAGAGATAGCTCTGAAGTTAGTGTAGGCCCATATTGCAAAGCTTGTGTATTTTGGAGGCAGCAGACCAACTCCAGAGAAGGATTTGGGAAGCCTTTGAAGCGGTAGTTTTGTAATTTACTGCTGGATCCAGCAGGAGTATGTGACAACCTCAAAGTAACTTTTGCAGTGCTGGGATCGGCTTGCTTTTTTGGTTCAGCTGGAGATTCTCCAGATGGTCTACTACCTCTATGGCAACTGGGAACTGTACTTGGAAAATATTCAGCAAACTGCAGATTGTTGTTGCTTTTTTTCTGCCAAAAAAGTTAAGATCTGTTGAAGCTCTGACAGCTGTACCTTGTCATGGAGAAAATCCTCTGAAGAAAAAAACATTGACCATTAATCTTGCTATTAGATTATTCTCTGATGACTAGTTACATCTTGTACGTAAGTTTTTACCACCCAGATAATGCTGTCATTATTTTCCTGAGCAACCACTGGAAGGGAATTAATCTCTGTGAATCAGCCCTGAAGCTTCATGTATATACGAGTATATATGTGAACGTATGTATGCATTTTTACATTTAGTGAAAAAATCACCATAGGATGTTATTTGAATCCAAGGGGGGTTTGTTTAAATAATGGAGTCACTGAAGAACATTTTGAAAATAAGGCTGGTCCTGAAACTACCTGTAAAATGCTTGACAGCAAATGGCTGATTGACTATGATAAAAAAAAAAAAACACCCTGCAAAAAGCAGCATTTGTATTTCAGTGTTGCTGTTGACATTCACGTATTCACGTGGTGTCTGAGAGCAAAATATCTGAATAACATTTGGATTTGTGACTATTAAATATTGCCTATTTCTGTAAAGGCTTATTGGGTAGTTTTCTTTTGATGGAGTAGCTTCATGGCGCACCAATTAACTTGACTGATTTATCTGCAGCTATAAAATTAAACGAATTTCATGATTCATACTGAGAACAACTGAATTGGTACTATCTTCTCTCTTCTTTGAAGTGCTCTGGGTCATGCAGAAGTACTTGCATGTCTGTGAAGTGAATGCTAGAAATATGAGCAAAAACATTCACTCCAGGTCATTTTATCTGACTGTCAAGTGTGTAAGAATGGGGTAATGAAACACCATTGCAATTACTGCTGGATAAGGGAAAAGTGTTGCAGGAAATTAGTCACGTGAGCCCTATATAATATATTTGAGGGCTAGATCTAGCAAGGCTCTTAACCATCATTATTTGAAAGATGATTTTTTCATTATACTTCACTCTTCTAATCATCTACTTTTGGCTCTGCAGTTCTGCCCTTCTCTCATGCCAGGTTTGATTCCTGCCAGATACTTCTGGTTGCCAACTGACTTCGGTAAAACAGGAGAAAGCAATCCTTCTTTATTGGAATTAGTTTTTTGCTAGATTAGTGCTTGTAATTCTATTATGGGGAAAGCCAACAAATGCCAGGGCTGGTGCAAGACTGATTCCAGCTTGCAGTAGTGGTACAGGGGAAGGAAACAGTGAGATCAGTGCTTACTGGAGAGAGTGATCTTCTGGGTTGTAGTATCACCCAGTCCTGTGGTTTCTTTGGTAAGTGAGAGAATGAGAAACAGACTCCTCAAAGTTCTCCCAGTAGTCTGAGAACAGCTGACTACTGCAAGTGTCTGGCAACAGCCTAGTTCCTCCAAAGTCAGGGAAAAAACATGAAAGATTTAGAACAGATATTTTGGTTAGTCCTCACTCCTCATCTCTAGAGGCGTTGAACTGTTGCCATCTCAGGGTGCCAGTAAAACAAAAGAATTTGAGAAATACTCCTATGGAATAACTTTCCCAGCAACTGTGTGCTAAGTCCCTATTCTGCCACTACAGATGAAGCAGTTTCAGTTGAGTTCAGTCTTTAAAATTGTGTGTAATATGGCGGGGTGCAATTAGGTCTGTTAACTTTGATGTAGACGGTAAACCCCAGGAGGAAAAGTCAATGATAATACCTAGTATTAAGATATATTGGTAAACAGATAATTCTGTAATTGAAATTCCTCTTCGTGATACCAGTACTGTCTATGTGATAGAATATAATAACCTCATACTTTTGACCCAAACGGTCAATTTTAAGGGAGGCTTATGAGTTCACCCCAAGAGGGGAATAAACTGATAATGGAATCGTATTTCTTCCACATTACAGTGATCATTTCAAAGAAGGAAGAAAAACTCTGTTCCTGTGAACGCAGTTTCAACCAAACAGTGAGAAGTGATGGCCTTTTCTTTGCAGTTCAGAGCATCTTTCCAGACAATACTTTATCTATCTAATTTTTTTTTTCTAGCTGCTTGGCATTCGAATGTCATGGATTTCTTGTTGCTTTTTTCTCTGTGGCTGTCTTGTCAGTCTCCTGTGTCTCCTATCTTAAGAGGTCCCTGAGAGCGCTCCTTTGTTTCAAGACTGCTTATTAAGAAAGTTATCATCAGATTTATTGTCATCTGCAGACAGAAAGCGAAACTGGCAGGAGCTTTTCAGTCACTTTCACTGGCAGCTTAGGCACGTATGAATGGCAAGTAAAGGAAGTAGAGATCCCAGGTCTTCAGCAGCCTGCATGAAGACGCTAAGTAAATTTCAATACAGTTCTCCTGACAGCAGAAATCTGTTTGTCATTTCAAGTTCCTGGTGGAAAATGGTCAATTTCTCAGATCTTATTAGTGCTGTGAAAAAGAGGAGGAGGATATTTCTTAGAGTATCATGTAGATTGGGTATTTTTAGCCACCAGTAACGTTGGATAGTGTTCAAGAATGGCTGAGGTTCTGTCTCAACTGTCATTTCAGTGTTGTGGTCAGCCTCCCTCTTGTGAAGAGTCTTTTCCTCCATGTTCAATTTACTTCATATTCCTTGTCCTCTCTAACACAGAATTTGAGTTGGGTGACATCCATGTCTTCATGTGTATAGAAAAGGCAAACTGAGTGACTAATTAATAAGCGTAATGCCACACGTAGAATAAATGCATTCCCTATGATACAACAACATTGATCTCCCTCTGTATACCACTGAAATGATTACACTCTGGAAAAAAATAACTTGATCTCTGCAATTTATTGCTTGCTCCACACACTGGGATGAAAATTTTGAAGAGAATTTCTCCTGACTGCTTTGGGAATTCAAAAACAGGAAAACCTGATTGGGGCTGAATTGAATAGCTTGGATGCATTAGAATGCCCTTGCTAGTAAACTTACTGTTAATTACTAAGCAATATCTTCTGAATAGCATCATGATGGTTTTAGGGAATATCCTGCATGAATTGATTAGAGTATGTTTAACCAGAATGATAATTTAGTATAGTCTTCCCTTTTCCCCTTTTTCCCCTTTTTTCCCCTTTTTTTCCCCTTTTTTCCCCTTTTTTCCCCTTTTTTCCCCTTTTTTCCCCTTTTTTCCCCTTTTTTTCCCCTTTTTTCCCCTTTTTTCCCCTTTTTTCCCCTTTTTTAACCTTTTTTCCCCTTTTTTCCCCTTTTCCCCTTTTCCCCTTCCCTTCATCCTTATTTTATCAAATGCTTCTTGTTTTCGTGCTCTGAAATATATTTTATTATGTTTACCAAATTTTTTTGTTGCCTGTGAAGGAAATTCTTGTCTTGCTGGAAATCAGAGCCATTGAGCTTAGTTGAGATGTTCTCAGCAGTACAAGGGTTTGGATATTTAACTGTTAACCCTTACCCTTTTTTAAATAAATAATTAGTACACGTCATGGTTTGCATAACGAACTTGAGATTAATCTACTTTTCAAAACCTCAGTACAGGATATCTGCATGATGAGCAAGAGAGGGAGGAAAGATTTTACGTGAAAGGAAGGTAATGATCCGAATTTCCTCTAGGTGGCAGTGAGTCCTAATTTCTTCACATGTTCTGCAAAAAGTCTTTCTGACAGTCTGAATTTTGTTTAACTTTAAATCCAATTTGGATACATCTTGAAATCCTAAAAGCACTGTATTGCAGTAGGATATACATGGTTGCAAATCAGTTTAGTCCTGGACATATGAATAAATACGACACGCAGTTTGTGTACTGTGAATTGTCAGGCCGGGCTGCATGCTTTCAGGGACCAGAGGATGTGCAGCCTGCCCAGCTTGTTTGCAGTGGCTGTTGTCCACCCATACAAACAAGCTGAAGGCATGTGTTGCATATGCGTGGTAAGTCTGGATATACAATGTGGTGAACTGCATGTTTGTGTGAATACTACTCAGATAAAACCTTCTGGTAGAGTACAAGAACCTGCACAGAAACACCTGGAGCCAGCAGGCTTCTTTGGGCCAGATCCATTCTCTCCTTTCAGATCATGAAGTGGAATTATTATTAGTTATTATCACGAATAACATCAGTGGCTCTGCATAGATCTCCCTTTCTCCAGAGACAAATATCTCCAATTTTCTTTACATTTTTGCCTATTTTGCATGCTAATTGTGGCTGCACACAAGAACAATTTTCAGCATGTTCACACAGCTGTTTGGGCTTGGTGGAATGGTGGTGGTGTAAAGCAAACAAAAGCAATAACAGTCATTATTTGAGATACAGATGCCACAGAGCAAGATATTAAAGAAAGAGGAACCAACTCACTCCTCCCAGAAATAGGAAAGATGGGTGAGCTGAGGAGTGCATCCCTTTTGTTTGAACTCTGGTGTGCCAGGAGAAGGAAGCAAATGGGGGGAACCCGCATAGACTCAGATTGCATCCACGCTCCAGGAAGCACAACTGAGATGGGGAGAGAGTTTTGATCAGTTTTGTCTCTTGAGCAGCCTGAGAGTTGAATGTAGTAGTAGAAATGGCTTGTGGATTGTTTCAAGCAATGTGAAAGGTGAAACGAGTAAACAATTTTAAACCGACTGAAAAGTATATGGTATGTTTGGTGGAGATTTCTGATAGAATACATTTTGGCATTAAAATTTAAGTCTGAATGCAACTCTTTTAGAAAACGTTGTGATGAAAGACTTAGCAGCTTGATGGAAGTGAATGGGTAAGTCTCATAGATTGAGATAACACAACTGGGATTTTGCATTAATATCATACAGTTATAAATCATACAGTATATATCATTCAGTTATGTGTTTAAAAGTATGTACTGGGAATAAATGCATCGTGTATAATATTTCACTGTCTTCTGCTCTCAATCCAGCACTGTCACACTACATCACAAATATGAGTGTGAGTAGATTCTGACAATCCTGCTCAAGAAGCAGTTCAACATTATTTAGTGAACTACCCTGATTTTTGCACTATGTAGTAATGGAGATATAGGAGATGGTGCAGAATTCTGTTACCAAAGATGATGAAGGAAATAATATTACTGAAACCTTTCTTTTATTTAAGCCACTGTTTCACTGAAGCTTTATTATGAAAAGAGTTTTTCTGTCTTTAAGGTGATTGCCATATTCGAGACATATCCTAATTTCATATTCACACTGATTTCAGAACGTTGTCTCTGGTGAGGTGGAAATTTCCCATAACTGAGCAAACATTATTAAAGATGTATTCTAAATTCTGTCTTCTCTAAATGTAAAATTTATAAACTAAGTTCTCTGAAATTAGCAATGGAAAAATGTGTTGCTGTCTCCTTTACCCTTTTCCTCACACGTACATGAAGAAAAATGAGAAGAATATGCAGATACTGGACTATCAATTTGATATGTGTACAGAGGCAATAGTTTCAGAAAAAAAAATGAGGTTTGTGTTCCATTATAAATCTACTGTGGTTTTCAAATATTCTGCATTTTGCTATCAAGGGCAGCATATTGGTACAGATATGACTCCTTAATCAATTTTATAAATTCAGCAAGAAGTCTCTGTAAAGCCATTTTGATTAGCATTAGATGACTTTCCAGCATTGAGAGTAGGTTATATTTGTGCCTCA